CCCCCCCCCCCCCCCCCCCCCTTGCACAAGGGAACAACAGACCTTTGCAGCTGCTGCGGTGCGGCTCTTCTGCCTCCATTTCTCCAAAACTGACCAATCTGGGAAGTGGACAAGTTGGCATTTTTGACATTGGTGATCCGGGGGATTTACAATACGGGCCTTTCCAACTGTTTGTTTTCCGTGAATGGATCCTCAGCTGCCACATCTCTTCAGTCTTCTTTCACAGTTCAGTTTTATGATCTTCATTGACCAATGTTTGAGGCTGATGATAATTCGAGGTGCAATTCACTCCATGCCGAACAATGTCCAAGATTCTCGAAGCCTGAGCGTGAGGACAGACAGGGCCGAAAAACCTAGGAGGCTGTCGAACCTTCTAACAATATTTTGTAGGAAAAGTTATCTAGTGCCAGTTCCGCGATAAGATAACGAAACTGCTTGATACCTGACATCAACGTCACAGCCAACATTGTTCTCGCTTCTCCATGTGTTTCATTGCGGGGTGCAGGGATACCAGGAGGAGGGACCGAAGTTGTGATCGATGTCCACACGCACGACCGAGCACCAACCTGTACATGCAGTACATTGTTCAACAGGGAGAGAAGGTGGAATTTCAGCCTCCTACTGTTAACTCAACGCGGTTCATCGAAAAACAAAAACAAATGGTTGTGAGAATCTTATTCCGCTACCTCCGACCGCTGGCTTTTCCACACGTCAACCTGTACCGTGGCAGAAGATCCCGGTTCGTGTATTCGGGTACTTCCTCCCCTTCCGTTTTCCCATATTTCGCCCGTTATTCCTTTCCCAGATCCTCAATCCGTCAACCTCACCCCATTCACTCCAACAACCCAGCTGCCACCGTTTGTCCACCACTCCTCAGCACCACCCTCTGTCCCGCCTCGAGTGGTACCTTCGTGTGCAGTGTGACCCTAACCCTGGAAACGGTTCCCGGCTTCACGATCATTGGCTTCTTCTTGATCACCTTGCCTGTCACTTTGTCCAAGATGGCATCGATAGCCTCGATCTTGCCCGCCGCATGGAGTCGTCCCCTGTGCACGTCCACCTGCATGGGCATGAGGATGTCGAACGCTAGGGCCTTGAGCGTGAACGTGTCCACGCATTGAATCGGCTTGGCAGGGTCGCATACGATGTCTCCGACTCGTACGTGGATGGCGTCGATGTTGCTGAGATGAAGGATCACGTTTTGTCCGGCAACGGCCCAGTCCGCTGGTTCTCCGTCGTCGACCTGGAGGGACTTGACGTAGGCCTTCTCGCCGCTCGGCTGCACCAGGAGCGCATCGCCCATTTGCAGTGAACCTGCGTCGATGCGGCCTGTGATCGATATGGGACTCTGAGGCGTGCGCATGACCTCCGAGATGGTCATCCGTAGAGGCTTGGTCAATGCCCTGGCACTTGGTTCCGAAGCCTCGAGCTCCTCCACCAGTGTGTTTCCCGTATACCAGGACGCTGCTGGATCTGTGGTTTTTCGGACAAGGTTATCGCCGTGGAGGCCTGATACGGGTACAAACGCGATGTTCTTGGGCTGGAATCCAGTGCCCGTCAAGAATCCCGCCACCTGGTGCCTAATCTCATCGAATCTCTCCTGGGACCAGTTGACCGTGTCGAGCTTGTTGACGGCCACGATAATTCTCGAAACGCCCATGCTGCGGATAAGAAGAGAATGTTCTCTAGTTTGGCCCTTAAGACCAGATTCAAATGCTCCCGTGCTTGCATCGATGACCAGGATAGCAAAGTCTGCCTGACTTGCGCCAGCGATCATGTTGGGGATAAAGTCCCTATGGCCAGGAGCATCAAGAATTGTGAAAGATGTCGTGTCTGTCTCAAAGCGGTTGGTAGCAATGTCGATGGTGACGCCTCGGCTGCGCTCCTCGTGGCGTTGATCCAACACCCAGGCGAGAGCAAAGGATGTTTTGCCGATCTTCTCCGCCTCTTTTCGTAGTTTATCAACGGTGCGCTGGTCGACAACGTTGAGGTCGAGTAACAGTCGCCCCATCATGGTGCTCTTGCCGGCGTCAACGTGGCCAACAACTACAAAGCTGGCAGTCTTCTTGCCCTTCGTCTTCTCGAATTCTGAGAGCACATTGAGATTGCGACTCTTTGGCAAAGGCGTGTCGTCTATCTTGAGCTGGCCGACTTGGTTCGTTACGCCATCCGCGGACGATGGCCCCTTTTTGTTCGACTGGACGTTCGCAGACTTCTTTCCGGCTGTGGCGACTATTAGTGACCGCGTTAGTGCTGTTTCTTTCCCGTGAGCGAACCTTTCGCCTGAGCCGCAAGGACCACGTCATCTGGGCTGGGTTTGCCAAAGGCTTCCGGGGTGTACAAGGAGATCGCCATGTATGGTAAGCTGAACACCTCGCGGGGTTTGCGCTTGAGACTATCCGATGAGGGGCCGAAGAGAGTCGAAGCAAAAGCAGACGGTTCGGCTTTTGGCGGTGCCACCACCGGTTCCGGCTCGGGTTGGACATGCTCCTGCTGCAGACTTGGAGTAACCTCGGGCACTTGAGCTTGAGGAATTTCGGGTCTTGTGGGCTCCGCCATAGTGAGAGGAATGCGACCTTGAGCAGTTGTCTCTGATGTTTTAACTCGCTTGCCAAACAAGCCAGCGAGCGGACGATTCTCCTTGGATGCTTGGTTGTCGTGGACAGTGAGCTCCGTCATCTTGACTTGTGTCTGCTCAACATCTTCAGAGGTGCTCTTCTGCTCTTCGGCTTTCTTCTTCCGGGCGGCTGCTAGCTGCTGCAGCTTGGACATCTTTGGGGGCGCTCCTGACCCTCCAAGTAGACCTCCAGGAAGTTGTGGAGGCGGTATGAGAACCGCCTGCCGCTCGGGTGGAATATTTCCCCATGGTAAATCCCGGAACAGGTGGGCAAATGACTCTCGAGAAGCACTTGCAATGGCCGCTTGACAGGACGTTGTCAATGAGGGTTCGCGAAGAGCAACGGGATATGACCGGCGGGGCGAAGTCGGCCACCACGGCCCAGACCCTTTACCCAAGATGCAGGTGCCTTGCGTCCGCTGGCAACGGCACTTGACTCGCTGTTCATGAGGAAAGGAATGATGATGGAGGGGGCTGGGCTTACCATCGTGCTTTGGCGCTGCCTTTGGAGGAGCAGCCTTGGCAGGCTTCTTGGGCGGGTCGATGTACTTGGAAATGAGGTAGGCGATAGTCTTGTCAACGTCGAAGAAGTAGTAATAAAGTGACTCCTCTATCTGCGCCTTTGTGACCTTGGGTGCCTCAACTCCCAGTGCTTCCAGTACCTGAGCTGTGCCTTCCGTCATGCGGACTTGGTCTTCAGGGCTGAGCTCCTCTTCCTCGTCGGAGTAGCCATACTCGTCCTCGAGTTCTGCCTCGTAGTCAAGGTTTCGGACCGCTTGATGGCGCGACATAATGCTGACTTGTAATCGATATGGTCCGGTGTATTTTCTTCTTCGGTGAAGTAGGTTGTCTGTTTATACGCAAATGATGGGTCGAAGTAAGATATGAATTCCTAGTGATGCTGCTCTTGTGGCCAAGCGATCGTTTGTTGAGTTTTGGCAAAGAGAGATGAAAATTGTCTGAAAGCCGAGGGGGGCGTGACGCTCTTTTTAAAAGCTGAGACAACCCTGATTCCAACCTCAGATACCTGCTTCGCTCCGATAGACGGTGACGGAATGAACGTGGAAAGACGTGGTGCAATTATGTCCGTACGCCTGAATGAATGCAGTCGATGTATACTTCGATGTCCGATGTGTTTAAATGCGGTTCAGTTGTTCAAAGTCCGACTCGTGTAGCAATTCTTATGTAGGCTGTGAAGCATCAACCAGATCACCTCACATTGAATGACTATGAAAGACCAAAGTTCCCGCAGCGGGAAGCTCCAGGCGACTGTGCGAACAATCAAGGTGCTGCCCCACCACGGCCTTGGATTTTGCCGGTTGACCCCACCAAAACAGCGTCACAGAAGCTGCCTGGTCGAAGGCGGTGAAAGTGAGTGAACGCCTAAGCGTTTTACCGGAGTCAAGCACATGGGCAAACCTGATCATAACCACTTATGCCAAAAGTTCCACCCAGTACCATCGTACCCTTGCCAGCTGGCCTCCCCCCGTCACTTGCCGGGCAGCACAGCACACCGAAGCAAGACGCCAAGCATCAACGGCTATCGGTGGAGCTGACCGCCTTGCTGTTGGCGGGGCGGCTTCGTGGAAGCTGGGCTCAATTTTTTGAGATTGGCGTAGGGAAAGGTGCCTGCCAGCAGCGGAGGTCGCAGAGAGCTCCTGTCTGGCGCCCATTCCACCAGCGTTCAACAACAACACCATCCAAACCCAATCCCTTTCACCATAACCGCAACCGCCCCGACCGTCACGCCGAAGCTCTACGAGGTCGACCACTTAATCAAACAATAATAGTGATTGCACATTACCGACCGCAGTCGTAATATTGCCCAAGATGGCGTTGAGTATGTCTCTTGAGCCCCTCCTTTCACCCCCCTTTAACCACCCCTCCCCACTTCTCAGAATACCTTCCAGGCCGCACCGTCTACCGAACACAACAGCATAACTAACTTTGAGATGTGTAGACTTGGATTTGTCGAATGGTATGCCGCGACCCTTTTAGTTTTCCCGTCGATCTATTCGATTCCACGCCGGTCGGATATGCTAACGCCTTCCCCGAAACAGCGGTGATGATGAAGGATGAGCAGGGCCGCCCTCTCATCGTTGTCAGAGAGTTAGTCCCCTTATCTGCCGACATATCAAACGATGGTCCTACAGTCTACTCTAACACGACGTCTACTACTGCAGTCAGGGAAAGAAGAAGAGGCAATACGGAAACGAAGCCGTTAAGAACCACATTCTCGCCGCTAGAACCGTCGCAAACATCGTCAAGACCTCCCTAGGACCTCGTGGCCTCGACAAGATCCTCATCTCCCCCGACGGCGATATCACAGTGACCAACGATGGCGCGACCATTCTACAACAAATGGAGATCACAAATCACGTTGCCAAGCTACTAGTCGAGCTCTCCAAGTCCCAGGATGACGAGATCGGTGATGGTACCACAGGTGTCGTTGTGCTTGCTGGCGCGCTGCTCGAGCAGGCGGCAGAGCTTATTGACAAGGGAATTCACCCCATCAGAATCGCCGACGGTTACGACCAAGCTTGCGACATTGCCGTGGCCGAGCTTGACAAGATTGCCGATACTATCGAGTTCAGCAAGGAGGACACCACCAACCTGGTCAAGGTTGCGAGGACAAGTTTGGGTAGCAAGATCGTCTCCAAGGCCCACGACCAATTTGCCAACATTGCCGTCGATGCCGTCCTCTCCGTTGCCGACTTGGAGCGCAAGGATGTTGATTTCGAGCTTATCAAGGTGGACGGCAAGGTTGGAGGCGCTCTTGAAGATACCCTCCTCGTCAAGGGTGTTATTGTCGACAAGGACTTCTCCCACCCTCAGATGCCTTCCGAGGTCAGAGACGCCAAGATTGCCATTCTCACATGCGCCTTCGAGCCCCCCAAGCCCAAGACTAAGCACAGACTCGACATCACCAGCGTCGAGGAGTTCAAGAAGCTGCAGACTTACGAGCGCGAGAAGTTTATCGAGATGATCCAGCAAATAAAGGACACCGGTGCCAACCTAGCCATTTGCCAGTGGGGTTTCGATGACGAGGCGAACCACTTGCTCCTTCAGAACGGCCTTCCTGCTGTCCGATGGGTTGGTGGTCCCGAGATTGAGCTGATTGCGATTGCCACAAACGGTCGCATTGTTCCTCGCTTCGAGGATCTCAAGCCCGAGAAGCTCGGTTCTGCTGGTATTGTTCGCGAGATGACCTTCGGCACGACAAGGGAGAAGATGCTTGTGATCGAGGAGTGCGCCAACACTAGAGCCGTGACTGTCTTTGTCAGGGGTAGCAACAAGATGGTAAGCGATGAGCCCCGTGGAATCGGTAAGGTCTCTGCTAACACCTATCACCTAGATCATCGATGAGGCTAAGCGTTCTCTTCATGACGCTCTTTGCGTCGTGCGCAACCTTGTTCGCGACAACCGCGTCGTCTACGGTGGTGGCTCGGCCGAGATTGCCTGCAGTTTGGCTGTTGAGGACGCTGCTGTCAAGTCCCCTGGTCTCGAGCAGTACGCCATGCGCGCCTTCGCCGATGCTCTCGACACCATCCCCATGACTCTCGCCGAGAACAGCGGTCTTAACCCCATCGCTACCCTCGCCGAGGTCAAGTCTCAACAAGTCAAGGATCCTGCTGGTCGCGGCCGTCTTGGTGTTGACTGCATGGGCCGCGGCTCGAACAACATGAAGGAGGCCTTCGTCATCGATCCTCTTATCGGCAAGAGGCAGCAGCTTATGCTTGCGACGCAGCTCTGCAGAATGATTCTCAAGATCAACAACGTCATTGTGTCTGGGTCTGGCGAGGACGACTACTAAACGATGAGCAAAGGAGAGAGGAATATGTGTGAGGCATGAGGAACGGGGAGGAGCCTGTACAGCGGACGAGTAATTCTCTCGGGAGAATCATGTGGGCCTCTGACATTAACTGAGTCAAAAAAGAAGATTCGAAAGTCAAGATAAGATCTTGTAGAAATATCACGGTTGTAATGACCGCTTGGTTCAGACCATGCAACGCATATAGAGAAGTACTTGTAGATACCAAAACAAGACGTGTGAAGACAAAATCATCCAGGCAGCCACGGATTCACTTATTTGCACCGTGCTGGGACGTCGGGAGTTTCACTCGCCAAGCTTTCGCTTCTGCCTCAAGAAGTGTCCGGATGAACTGTGAGACCAGAAGATCGAAATCAGAGGGATGATGAGGAGTTCCTATTTTGCTACGGTTTGAAATATTGGAAGTTTCCGACCATATAAACACTATTCTTAAGACACTCAAACACATACGACTATAGATGGTAGAAAACTCGGGATCCCGTCCGCTCTCCTATAGATAAACTACTAATTGAGTTATTATTAGAAGGAGCATAAACGTTATAGGAGTAGGGATGAATAAGTATCACAGGGCAAGGGCTGTATAGTTGTGATGTTCGTACATGTAGGGTCCACCCCGGTTCATCTTGACGACTACTGTATTGCGGACTTGCCTTTCAAGTTTCAACTAGGCCTCATAAGGCAATAGTGCTCGCAAACTACAACTCCGGTTAGGAGTGGCGGCGCGCTTAGAAGAATGGAAGGTGACAGTCGGGTGGGCGAACAATCTTTTACCGATACTTTCCACTTGCTATGTATCTCGACTGAAAATTCTTTACGTCTTACTTGTAGACCAGGCTTAGATTCTGGTGGTTACGTCACATCGGACTTTGAAGGGGTTGTTGCCTCGGCTACACGGTATACTTCTAATTATGTAGTAAGATACCCTAGGGACTTACTAGTCGAGGTAGACCTTCCGGGCTCTGCCTACATAGGCTACTTAATTTGCCTGTCTGCTTTACCTTTACATCTATCCTGCCCTGCTGGCCTTATCACTATTACACTCCGTTATTTTGGGGTAAACCTAAACCAGAAGACAGAAGAAATCATCTCAGAACCCTTCATTGTTTCGGTCGTCGCCACCAAACGGCATATTCCTTTTCTGCTATTCACCTTTTCTGTTATTCACCTTCTCGATTCAGCAGCAGAGTCCGCCTGTGTCGCCAACCGTCCTCATCCTTGTCTCACTTTCTTTGACGGCAGGCCTCGGACTCCGGCGCGCCACACTCGGCCTTAGCAACACTACGACGGCTTTCCATCCTTTTCCCCGTCTCCCATGGGAACTCCGAGCTCGGATATGGGAGCTGACTGTTGAGCCTCGAACGGTCGAGGTCAATATCGAATACGAACGCACGGCAGTTACCGATGATATGAGAGCTAGATACAATTGGGCTCTAGATACGCTTGGGTGGATTTATGTCCTCCGTTTGCGGCCATCCACTGCAGTACCAGCCCCTCTCCAGGCCTGTCGAGAAGCGCGTATTCACCTCACGGAAAGCGTGGGTAGCTTTGGGTTCTACAGGAAGGTCTTCCACCAACTGCCAGTTACACCGAATAACGGGAAAGAGATGCCGCCACAGCCCGGATTCCGGTTGGAGCTCGGCCTTGGCCTAGAGCCGCGCTACGTTTGGGTGAATTTCGAGATGGATATGATCTCCATCAGCCAGAGTATGTTTACGCTTTGTGAGCCGTATTACCAGGACATCAAGCGGCTCAAATTTGTGCGCGAATGTGACGAGTGGTTGTCCGCTGCGAGTCCAGGGAGTTGTGGAACTTTGCCAATGTCCGAGAAGTCCACGTGGTCTGTCTGGACAATTTAGATTACTGGCAAGGAGCGGACGAGGGCTGTTTCCCTTCGAGTTGCAGTATGGAAAATGTCTTGCTGGTCGATGGGGAAACTGGCAAGACGGAGACGCACTCCGAGAATAATGCCAGATGGGACGAGATACGAGGTGTGGGCTATAGAGAAGGGGGAGCACGCATCCACCTTGACACTGGTATGCCTTTCGTACCATGGCTTCCACCAGGCTGGTTTGAGGGGCAGGAGGAGTGGGATGATTACTACGGCTATTGGTGAGGGTGTGAAGAATCTGCACTCTACGCCCAGGCGGTTTATGTTGACGAGGAATTGGGAGCAAGGGCTGACAGCTAAATTTTGATTTGAACGGTCCTTCCTTTTCTCTACTACCACTACATGTAGGCACCTACCCAAACTAGAGGTACCTACCCAAAAGCTCCTTCCAACAAACCTTAACTTTTTACCCCATATAGTCCAAAACCACCAAGTCCGTTACCTATGTAGAATTGTGAATTTTGAAGATGGCTAGATATCACACTTTAGGTTTTGAATTGAAACTCACATTTCATTTTCCGCTTCCTTTCTCTCTCTTTTCGCTCTTCGCTTTAGTTGTCCCATTCCAAACCAGGACCTATGGTACTGCTCTCGAGTCAGGTGTATTTTTTGTACCTCAGTGGCCTCAAACAATTACCATACAGCTCCCTGTATGTTTCATTTGGGTATGGATCTTGCTCTTGCTTTAGTCACATCGGCTTCCCCATTGATCAATGCCAGACTTTGGGAAAACATCTGGCCGAGATGCAGCTTTCTGGCACAGATGACCGCCCGATTTTCCGCTACGGTATATACATAACAAGACGGCATAGACACTTCCACCTCCTGGACTACACTGGTCTTGGACTGACATAAGACTTTGCTTGGTAGGTAGGTAGGCAGGTATGTAGGTTCTTTCCATGCTTGCTGGTACAGTAGGTAACATCTTGGTGTTTTCACTGGTACACTACTTCCAAGCCGTTGTGTTCCAGACGAACGCTGATCTTAGACACAAATGATCTCCCGATGAGTGACCGTGCGGACACTTGACGTTCACTCGTCGAGACCAACCTGAATCATCGTCTGTGTGGCTCCAGGTATTCGAGAACCCTTTTGAGAACAGTTTGAAACACAAAGCGATATTTATTCCAGTTCCCCTCCCTCCTCCCCTTCGGTAGGTAATTGCCAAGATCAACAAAACACGATGAATTGTTCCTCTGAACTCCGACTCAGAGACATATAGAGGTGTCTCTGTAGCATCTACTTCTCTTGTCCTTCGTGTTGGTGACTCTCTTCATATGCCTTAAAATCATCCTCGGTATATCCTTGGTTCGCTATGAGGAGATGAGATAGATTAGAAATTGAAGTCTGTCAGAGTGGGAGAGAGGTACGATAGCGGTGTACTTACTGTACGGCTCAAATTTGGCAAGCTCGTCCCATTGCTCGTTCTGTAGGTATTCCTAGGCCCTGTGCATGGTACCCTGTGGGAGGTATATTTCGTGTTCGACGCCCTTGTCATCGGTGTAGTGCATGCTGTTGGGTTCTGCAGTTCGGATGGGTTGTGTGCGTGTAAATGTGCCCAAGGGCTGCTTGGTTTCGGCCTTTGCTTCTCCTGGTCCAGGATTTTCCATGATGGGCTTAGGTGAATGTGAATGGAAAGCTCCAGCGGCTTGGGTGTTCTTGGAGTTGTAGGCAGGTCACAGAAGCAGTTGGAAACAAACCAGCGTCAATAGATATAGACAGGTGCGGGGAGGTAGGCTTACTTATACTTTCGTAGGCAGCGTACCGGTCATCCTACCTGCCCAGTTGGAATCCCTGCCAGCTCTGAAGAAGTGCACGCCGTGCTCCCACACCTTTAATTCCCCATGAACGTTATATCCGGTCGCCATGTCAGTGTGCCGCTTGGTTGTGCGATGCTACATATCGGCTACACGGTTCGAGGGCTGATAAGTGGGTCCTGAGAAGGTCACACCGGCGGCCGCCCATCATATATCTGGGACTTCGGTCGCGCCCCGCCTTCCTTCCCTCAACATCTTCTTCTTTACTTTCAATACAGCCTTTTCTTGTTGCATTGCGGAGCACCCAAGTTACGCATATCAGGTCACCAATATTGAAACCTCGATTGGTACAGAAACTGGATTCAACTGTAACCGAACCGAGGATTCTGAAGGATAAATCTTACCCAGTACCAGCCTAACGTATCGGCCCTACTTAGCGATTTTCATCAGAGAGCAGACTGAGTTATAGTACTTTCTAAAAACAGAAGCAACAGGTATGCTGTCTTTCATCTTATGAAGTACCTGGCTACCGGTCCAGCTAAGCCGCAACAGATCAACCACCAAGTAACCTATCACAACTCACAACACGGGCAAAGTGAAACGAACACATCAAGCAATCGACCCTACACCCCCGCTCACGTCTTCACTACTTATAGAGTTAGCGCAGTTTGCTTTTAGTTGCCTCAAAACTGTTTACTTACCGGTTATCTCTCAAGTGTCAACGCCACGAAATTGAGGATGTAAAGGCTCAAGCACTGGTGGCCGAAGCAGGGGTACTGACGGTCACCAAGGTTGTCGGGGTGCCATCGGTCGCGGGACCGCGGTACTTTCCGGCCCATTTCGCCGCGAATTCCTCACCGGTCAAATCCATCACGTCCACCATGATCTGCAGGCGTTCAGACTCGGGCCCGGTGACATCATAGTCATGCCCGTTGATGGTGGCCGTGTCGATCGGGATTGTCTCGTTGCACTCGGCATGTCGCTCAAAGGCGGCTACACGAGCGGTTGAGTGTTGGTCGAACCCGGAGGTCCTGCCACGCCGGCATTGTGAGATGCTCGCCACAAAGGCCGTCTCGAAGGGGGCGTTGAGGTAGCAGGTGTTGAGGGATCCCACGGTCGTGCAGAGCCCGCAGCCGCCGGTGTTGGTCACCTCGGTAAAGACCAGGATCCCGACGGGACCCGACGACGTGGCGCGCATGGCCAGGAAGCTGGATGGCGATGGCGGCTGTGCGCAGAATTGGTACGTGTCGTAGCCGTTGCAACCCAGGCTACCGCCGTCGCAGAAGCGGCCGCTGAACCATCGGATAGTGTATGGCCCTGCCGAAGCAAGCCAGGCGGTGGCAGTGAGGAGAGAGAGGCTAAGTTTGAGATGCATGTTGACGATTGATTGAGTGGGTTCTATAAAGATGGGTAGACTGGATAAGGTATGTTTGTCTATGGTCTGAATGGGACAAGAAGTGATGGACAGATAAAGATATTTCGACTGACAGTGGGACAGGAAGCCAGTTCTTATAGACCGACAACCAAAAAAAGCATTTGCCTCTATCGCGACCATGTCTGCAAGTCCGCATGTCGCGAAGGACGATGGTGATCTTACCATGATCGCGGCGATGAAAGCCATCAAATTACGACCCTGCACGAACGCACCGCCCGGGCACGACAAGAGAACGGCCGAAAGCTGACCGATCTTGAATGCCCTACCACGCCAACGCTTTTTCCACCATGATGATCATGAAGTTCGGAGGAATGTGGAATGAAGTTGTGCCATCGGTCCAATGCCTGTTGGTTCGAGAACCTGTACAAGGTTACCGGTATAGGATGGTTTAGATGGGATGCTGGAAGGATAGTAGTATAGAAGCATCAAAGGATTGAAAGGCTGCGGCGTTATTGCCCATCGATGCAACCATGAGTTGCATGACATGACTGGTTTTCAGACTACCATATGTACTAGTGTATCGCAACTGACCAAAACTGTGTGAAGTTGTAAGTTCTTCTAGGGCTCATATACTCCGTACCGGAGCTGGTTGTCTGGTGTCTTGGTATATTTTTCCTTTTTTCCTTGAGGATGAGATGAAAGGATGGATATCGTGACCAAATACACGCATACTATTTCTTTTGCTTTACAAACCCTCATTTCTACTGGGCTACACCTCCCCTCATCCTACCACGAATCCTCGTTATACACGTAGCGGATACCTATGCTTCGAGGACGAATGACCCATGTTACTCAATGTTGGAGTTACACAGCCTTGTCATGGCGCTAGCGGACCACTAAATCACTAGGCTATGTTCCAAAAGGATACAAGTAACCGAAGCTGGCAATTCGGTCGCTCAAGTGGTCTTATATAGTTGTGATGGCAGTCGAGAGGCACAACTGCAAGGCTGCCATCACAAGCCTTCTGTAGGGTTTTATTACCCAATAGAACCAGTAACTCTACGCCACGCGGAGTTGTTCAATCGGGAATACCATGGATTTGGCCTCTACACTAAACCATCTCCGGAAACCCAAGCGAGAACTTAGTGGTATCATCAGGGCTCACTACAAGTAGCAACATAAAGACGGACGCGACGGAAAGCTAAATACCCGCTCCGAGACAGTGTCTGGTGGCTTAGGGATGCTTAGAGAAACCCGTATTTATATTTCTCTATCACTACCGTTGATCATTACTCACGTCTACTTTTCCCCTGGATCTTTCTCTTTCTTCCCTACCTGCTTCACGCTCATCAGCACCACGTATCTCAATTGCAGTACGTCCTTGCATTTGTTACGCGTTCCTAGCAGCCAGAACAAGACCGTAGCAGGTTTACCTCTCGACCAAGATTGACTCGAATTACCAGCCCCGATCATTGACAACGATAGTTCCTCAGATCCAATCGTTGCTCGTGCAGAGGACGGAAGACCGGCGACATGGTCCCGGACACTTTCCACCCATTCCCCCGCCTCCCATGGGATGTCCGTCGCATCATCTAGGAAATGGCCGTCGAGCCACGAACTGTATCCATTCGCTTCGCATATGGACCTCCGCTCGACCCCGCCGACTCCGAACAATACTACACACGAGTTGTCTCGCCGACCCCGGTGCCAGCCCCGCTGCAGACCTGCGCAGAAGCCCGATATCTGGGCTTATACCAGCGAGTTTCCGCCGCCGACCATTTCCCATGCAGTGATCCGGAACCGGAACCCTACAACAATCGTCGGTACTTCTGGCTGAACTGGGACGTCGACATGATTGATATTCACGATTATCCTTTCGCTGCATTCAATCGCATTGTGCCGATGATCAAGCGGCTCAGATTCCAAAGCGGGTTTTACGAGTTCATAAGGGACCGTGATGACTATTGGTGGTACCAACTAAAGTGGCTCGACCATATCTTCCCCAAGGTTGAGGAGATGCAAATTGTGTGCGCTCCCGGTTGTAAGGTAGAGGATTAGGAATCGGCGTGGTACAGGCCCCTCCATTTTATGCCCCAGGAAAAGTTGTTCGTTGTTGATGCCGAGGATCCTAGTCGCATTCTGAACTTTGTTGGATTGGGGAATCTCTGTGGAAATTACTGGAGTTCCTGGGAGGTGTAATTGGCGACAGGCAGGAAGAATGGGGAGGACACGGTGCTTTTAGCCGGTTAACGTCGACAGTTGGAAATTGAGAACATGTCAGGGTGATTGGCGTGTCAAAATCTCAACGTACTCTGTTGACTGTTCCCGTGGTGAATGCCCCGTGAATTGAAATCGCTCGCGGATGGAGAAATGAACCGCTATAAATGACGGGTGTGGGAAAATGGAAGGGCGTATGCAGATAACTTCCCAATTGAGGAAGTCACGATCGGGCTCCAAGTTCAAAGTTGCCAAGACCACGCTGGCTTTCTGTCCACCCACAAGCTCATTTTTTTTTGTCTCCTAAATCCTTACACTTTGCTCCAATTTCTCGCAAAATTCCAAACCAGTGGACAACTTGTTCCTTTCTTAACCAGTCTGTGTTGAAGCCTCCGAGGCGCCGCAATTGATGCTCACAATCGCTAACCACGACCGCTTCCCCGCTTCCCCAGTTCAATAATGTGCTTGTTCCTCATCCTGGCCATCAGCTAACCGGTTCTCTCTAGGTTCTGAAACCCACACATATAACCGACACCGCGATCGCGAGAAGAGATGACAGCAACGGCGACGCCCGAAATGCTGCGGATTGAGGTGACGGGAAAACGATCTATCACCCGTGATACCATACTCGTATACCATCCCAAGTCACGGAACGGCCCATTGCGCTGCAACTGCAGTCTCACCCTCCCCGCGATAGCAACAGTGTACGACGAGCTTTCGCTTATGATCCAACCAAGGAACGTTCCGAAACAAGCAGCCAATCGGTCTCACGACGACGACCCTGCCTCCCTGCTCGATCCAATCCCCCACTATTTCATTACCTGGCCTCAAACCCACGCTTCCTGTGTAGCCTGCAAATAAGCCGCGGCCTTTGAGCTCAAAAACATCAAGATCCTTGCCCCCCTCGTGTCGTTGCTTGCAGACAACCCCCCAGTTTCAATGCTGTGGTTCGTTAGTTCGCCAAGACCAAGCGCCTCTTGAGCCTCAGGGGTAATTTATGACTTTCCCAAAAGGGCCGTTTCTTGTATTCTTATTGGCTACCCTCCAACCACCCAGGTGCTTGGCCCCTCCAGGGGTCTTGACGCCTTCACCAGCGACGACGAACAGTTGGGTGGTCGGGTGGCTAATGTCTGGCGCTGATAGTCGCCAATGGTAGTTCCAGGCGACACTCGCATCGCAGAAACTCATCTTGGCTTCCACGGCTTCCTATCTGGTGGCGCAAGAACGTTCCTCTTGGAATCGAGTTGTTTCAAACATCATTTGTCCATTGCCGGAGATCTTGCTCGGGAACCAACCCTCTGAGAATATTAGGGGTGGGTGGCACACAATCCAACAGTTTCTAGAGGTGTGATTTATGCCTTGAAGACGGAGTGTATTGATAGGTCAATGGGAGAGGATGGCGGGCTTTCTTCAGCTGGTGAAGTACAGCTCTATATCCCCAAGCCCAAGCCCAGCTTGAACAGTGCGATGAACCCCATCGCTTTCCCATCCTTCTTTTCGTCTTGATACAATCAATCCCCAGCAGTTCATGACTCGTGCTTAGAAGCTTGGCGGTATTCTTCTTTAGTTTCTTCTTTGGACGTTCTTTTTGCCTGTTGATGTCACTCTTTTAGTACCTGCTGCATCCAAAATGTTCCCAAGCACCACATTTCTTATTGTTTCACTTAGCTTGTTTTCTTTCTGCTCTGCCGTCATAGACTCTGCATCTATAGGCGTTAAGTTTCCATCCCCCAGTGCTTTGCCAGTCCTTACTCTTCCATATGGCTCCTACCGAGCATCGAGCTACCGGTCAAACAGCGATATGTGAGTCTTCAAGTCGTTCATGCCGCTTTGCGTTCATCGCTAACAAACGCAGATACGTGTTTCGAAATATTCGTTATGCCGCTCCTCCGGTAGGGGACCTCCGTTGGGCGAAACCTGCGCCGCCACAGCTCAACAACACCACCCAAGACGGCAGTTATGGACCGCAATGCATCCAGACCGCAGTGTCTGGACTGAACCTCATAGGTCCGGGCAACAAGTCCCCCATTGGTGCTGCCCTCAACCAGTTGTATGCCTACCCATACCTCGTTTTTATATGACTTCAACGTTGCTAACATCATACGTACCTTGCATAGCCTAGGAGGACTCCCCATCCCGCTCTTCGGTGGCGGTTCTGAGGACTGTCTCTTTCTTGACCTGTACGTTCCTGGCAAGACACTCCGCGACCTTTCCGGTGCAAAGAAACCTGCGTCCCTCCCAGTAGCGTTCTGGATTCACGGCGGCGCCTACCTCTTCGGCTCAAAAGAGTCTCTTCAGCCCTTCTTCTACGATGGCAGCTCTCTCCTGACTCAATCGGTCCCAAGCCCTGGCTCCATGATTTTCGTGTCAATCAACTACCGCCTCGGAACTTATGGCTGGCTCGCCGGCACGTCGATGGAGAATTCTGCGGTTCCAAATGTCGGTTTCCATGACCAGCGAGCGGCTCTCAAGTGGGTCAAGGATTATATTGGCCTTGTGGGTGGTGACCCCAAGCGCGTGACAGCGATGGGGGAGTCTGCAGGTGCGGGGTCCATCATGCACCATCTTGTGGCCGAGGGCGGAAAGCTCGACCCCATGTTTCAACGGGCGATTTTGCAAAGTCCGGCGTATCAAATGGCCTGGGATCGGAACGGGACTGTCGAAGGCATCTTCAAGAAGTTTGGAGGATTGGCAGGGTGCGGTTCTGCCTCTGGGAAAGCAATGGTTGATTGCCTCCGAAGGGCCTCGCCCGATGCGATTGCAAAAGCCAACGCCGCGCTCCAAGCCTCGCAAACGCCTGGAACATTCGCCGTGGGACCTACGCCTGACGGCAAGTTCATTCGCCAGATGCCGCTCCTGGAACTTGCACAGGGAAACTTTTGGAAGGGACAGTCGGGGAGCGAAATGAGCTTGGTGGTATCGCACGTCAAGGACGAGTCCAGCCTCTTCGTGAGCGGTGCCATCCGGACGAACGAACAGTTTTCTCGCTTTCTCGATGCTGTCTTTCCGAACTACACGAGGGCAGGCGGCCAAGCTGAGAAGGTCGAGCAGTTTTACCCGGTGCCGGGAAAGAAGAGTGTCGATGGAAAGAGGAAGTATGACAGTCAGGCGACACGAATGGCGGCGTTCATGAGGGACAGTTGCTTCACGTGCAACGTCAGATGTGAGTTATCCAGTTCTGCTTATGTTGCTTCCCCCATTCCCCTCACGAAGCATGAAATCATGTACCCTTGTGCTACCTCGTCCCAAGGATGTGCGTTCCAACCAAGCGGCTCTTTCTACCCTTTCCCACCCCTGCTCCCCCCTGCGCAACGCTCAAGCGAGTATTACCTCAGCCGCTTCCGGTGAGACATCCCAGCTCGGGTACGACAGCCTTAACCCAACGTCATGTCATCTCTCATCAACACCACCAGTTTTGCAACCCTGTGCTAACCAAACCACCCGACTCTAGACCTAGCAGAAGCCTACACCCCATCGCGAACCTATCTGATGCAGTACTCGGTCTTCCCCTACTTGCATGCCACCGACCTCCTCCCTACGTTCTTCACCTCAACTCCCTCGCCCTCCTCTTCCTCGTCGCCACAGACCATTCTCGACTGCCTCTCGACTCTCTTTGCTCCGGCCCTCGCGCCCTTTGTCTCCGGCATTAGCATGGCTATGCAAAGCTACTTTGCCTCCTTCATTGTCAGTGGTGATCCGAACAAATATCGCAAGGGCCTGCTGAACTTGCCACCGGTGATCAGCTGGGGAAGACCTTCGGGAATTGCTACCGCTGGCTCAAAAGCGGCTAGTAGCAAGGAGAGGCTGGGAGGGGTGCTGAATGTGGGCGATTGGGGGTTTACGACGATTAGCGATGACCAGAACGAGAGGACGCCCTGTGAGTTTTGGAGGGGGTTCGCGAAGGAGGTTACTGAGGCGGGGGATTATGATGTCTGAGATGACGGTGAAGCATGGCAAAGTTTTGGACCAAAAGCTGGAAGGGGGACGGATGTGGAACAGATAGACGACGACATGGGCCTCAGCGCGGGCATACCACTCGTTTAATACATCACTAATGTTTAATTGACTAATAATAATGAGCCAAGATGTTGCTTGTGGTACTGTACAAAATGTGAAATGCAAAATAAAAAGGAGATGGATAAAGAAGGAGAAGATTGTGAGTCTGCACTATGTGCTTGAGGTTTATAAGTCATTCCCTCTTGGCAATTTGTAACAACTTCCAGAAAGGCATCGTGGTCGAGAGGTGTGGTGCACAGCTTAGCTACCCGCTGTACCACAAATCGCAGGATCAACCTGTGGGAACAGGCTTTCGCAGGGCGCCACAGTGTGTGTGGTAGTACTGGCAAAACTGGCGTCTTCCGGTTATGTTAAGTAAGGCTCTTCTACTCCTTTCCAGTTTGCCAGTACGTCCACGTCCCCCGTTTGAGTCGCGCCTGATGACCTTTCCACTCTCTTTTTTTTTTGGTCTTTTTCTTGGTGGCTTTCGTCTGATGTGAGTTGGGCCCATGGGGGTCGGTGGATGTGGGAAGGGCAGGGCAGGGGGGTTGATTTTGTAGTAGGTCCGTTGTCGATACTTCATGGTCCATTGTTGATGTGTCGAGATCTGTTGCTTGCCAGTCGTTGTTGCTTCCCTGTCGAGTAGAAGAGAAAACGAAAGAAAGGACGACGAAGGAAGGTGCGAACAACAGAGATAAGAAAAGCGACAAAGGAAACAAACGATCAAGAGAGAGAGAAGGGCCAAAGGCAGAGTTTGCGAGACCTATCTCAAAGCAGATCAAGAACCGTAATTAGGAAAGCGCAGCTCATCCATGTTTTTGGACTCGGAAAGCCGCGTTAAAAAACCCCTGGTGGCAATTTGAATCCCTCCAAGGCCCTTCTTACCTGCGCTCGAGTTGTTGCTGGTCTTATCCCGGACATCAACCCGGACTCCGCCATCAGCATGAGCCAATTCTGGACGAGAACCGCTCTATTATATGTACCCGGACTCGTATTGTTGTTCGTCTGATCTCGAGACGGCAACCCGGATGTCAGTGTCAGCCAGTTCTGGACAATAGCCCATCCATCGCTCGGGCTCGAATTGTTGCTTGTCTCGTCAGCCTGGGTCCCAAGCCCGGGTACCTTTCCTGAAATTGGCCGGGAAGTGGTATCTCCGTTGTCTTCAATGACTGCCACGCCCCCGATGCTCGATCCCGTGCCATCACTCGAGCTGCCACTGCTGGTCTCGTCCCACGGGCACGCCACAGGAAGCGCGGCTCATCCCTGATAAACTGCAACCAGAAGGACCGTGGCAAAACACTTCTTCTCTGGGTAGTGGTGGTGGTGATAACCTGAACCTCCCCATTAGACAGGCTCTGGTTATTGCTCGATGAAGTTGGAAGGCTGCTGGGGAGTCTAAAAACTCCTGGCCGGAGCCTTCCCGTGTATATGGAGTTGATTGTGGCGTCTGAAGCGTCAGGAAGAGGAGGGAGAGCTGGCTGTGCGGCAGCTGCGGCCGCGGGCCGAGGAGAAAGAGGCGGAGTAGCGATGGGAACGACATGCACCTCTGAGGTGAGGAACGAGACGGTCGAAACCTCCTCCTCCTCAGAATCTTGCTCCTCCGCGTTGCCACGAAGGGCGTGTCCGAACTCAGCTTCGAAAGGGTTGTATTCTCTCGTGTAATCATCCTCCCTCCTGTTGTTTGGCTAGGATCTGGTACCTCTCAAGAGAGAGGGCCTCATGAGAGGCTCGGGTTGGACGGGCTGGATCGCTGGCGGGGAGGGGGTGCTGGCACCAAACTGTCGGATCTCATCCCACAACTCCTCGTAGTAGCTCTCGGCGTCGCTGAAGAACTCTGACATTGTAGCTTCTTGACTTGGTTAATAAAGTCTTGGGAAGAGGAAGGTGTAAATGGCGATGGTTCTCTGCTCCTGGTTGGGAATGACGATGAGTGAGGGGGAAAGAAAGCATAAAGGGTGCTGGTTGCCTGTCTTCTGGTTGTGATTGACCATGCGTGAGGAGAAGAAAAGAAAAACGGAAGTGGGAGGTACTGGATACTTGTAAAGAGAACTTGGTCCCTCGCAATGCACGGCATATCTTTTTTTTTTTTCTTTTTTTTCCTGACGCATGCGCCATGTCCGCTCAAAATATCCATCACTCACTGTAGCAAGAGAAGTCAGGCATTGCCCGACTCGAGCACATGATACCGGGCATGCACTCCTCGAAATAATTGACTGCAACATATCCGATGCCAGCGTCTGCACTTAACTAATTGCTTTCCATATCAAAACGTCAAATCGGACTGATGGAAAAGACATCAATGAGCACATATATGTACGGAATGAAACCACAAAGAGCTGCATATATGCTCTTCATGTGCAGAACGGTGAATATTTATGCTTCGTCTATGTCGTCCTCGGGGATTTTATGCAAGAGATAAAACCAGTTGTATGAGAGACTTGATGCTTCCTGATCTGTGTGAGGGAAAACTATTTTTTACACCGGGCACAGCCGACATCAGAAGGCAAGGTACACCTATATATATGTGCTTATATGATCAGCGACGACTCGAGATGTCGCAGCAGGCCGAACCGAAGTCCGATATATATTGCAAGAACGCATTTGTGGAATTTTGTTGCTTTTACCAGTGCGTCTTGAGATTTTCATTCTTCTGGCCACATCCATATAAGTACCTCTAGAGAAAGGGATTTTTGTTCTCTTCCAAACTCTCACAAACATTTTTAAACTGCTTACACCTAAACTCTCAACGCAAACAACATGAGCAACGGCAAGGCCAACGGGCAAATCTTCATCAACCATCCAGCTGTAAGGCCGGCATGGTCAAGGATAAATGTCGGTAATGGAACAGAAGCACTTGGTCACAATCCTGCGTCGTTCCTTATCACCCCAGACAATGAGTACTCTTTGGTATCCGCCCATGTTCTTGCTGAGCTGGGTGTTGTCGAATATGAGAGATTCTCTCCAAACTCCCACCGTATCGGCTATTTTGAGGATCCCTCTGGTCGAGAGGTCCTCATTATTGGAGGGGTGAGGCTCGAGGTGAAGTTGAAGGTGGCAGTCAACACCCAACGGGACGCACTTTTTCGCGGTGTTATCGGCTTCATGGTCTACCAAGAACCCCCAGAACCGGCCGATAGGGCCTTCTCGATGGGTCGTTGCAGCCTCCTTTGCTGCCATGGCTGGAACCGGCTCCTGGTGCCCCACGATTCGGGTCTGCCACTCCATGTACCACTATCCTCGCAACAACAACAACTACTGCAACAGCACCAACAACAGATACAGCAACATGTAGCTCAACAGCTACACCTACTTTACCAGCAATACCTACTTCAACAGCAACAACTAGCACAGCAGAACGGGAACGGCCACCTCGCCATCGCCAGCACTAATTCCAACCCCAACCCCCACACCAACAGCGACAGTAACGTCGATGCCCAGCCGACACTGACGGCAAGTGCGAGCAACAACCACGGCACGACCAGCGGCCAGACAAACATTCACCCCATGCCGAACTAGGAGAAACGGCGCCTCAAGCTGCTGTAGCTTTCCCACAACGATGGTAAGATCAAGATTCCAATCCATACTACTACCAGACATACAATCAGATAATTGAGCACAGGCTGATAAAAGGAGAAGATCACATTGTGTTCTACTTGAATCGGAGAAGTTACGGGACGGGGCCAAGCGAGGTCGAGTTGGATACACGAGATGATGACTTGTAGGGGAGATATGGAGGTTACGATTGATGGGACCAGGCGAGGTGGAGTTTGGATACACGAGAAAACTGTTTTATTGCCGTTTTTCATTTTTTTTTCATTCGGGATTGGGTATCTGGTACACTCATCAGCGCAACAATACAAGCATATTTCTTTAATACCTTGATCCGCTCGGCGGTGACCAATGATTCCACGTGTGCCAATGCCGTTCAGGTAGGAAGATCGAAGAGAAAACGGTGGGCAGGTAGCTTTGGCTTACAAGAAATAGCTGATGCAAGAGGGGACCTCCCAAGCTGCATGATAAAACTGTACGTGCATCTTTGTATCCCACCATCTAATTCGGTTGTACAGGTTTGCCGTAAAATATTGTTTCCAAAGATGCGATGCGATGTTGACGGACAACGGGAGTGGGATGTGGGATGGAAATTTCGATGGTGTAAGTTACCGGTCATAAGGGCTGGTCCTCGGCGGATTAACGGAGTTATGAGTGTACTGTTACCATAATCTTGGTATTTACCGAGGCTTACAGGTACTTGAAGCAGGAAGGTGCATCGCAGCTACGTAGAAAACGGCAGTTCGTGCAGCTTTTTGACAATTAAAATCATTGATTTGAGGCTGCCGTGCATGTCTGCGTGAGCCGAACACCGGACTGCTGGTTTGAAGAAGGGACGGTGGGAAAGATGGAGTCTTGGAGGTTGGTGACATGGGCTGAACTTTCCCGGGTTGAGAAAGCATGTTAGCGACTCCCCGAGAAAGGCACCTGACGCATGTTTACAACATTGAAAGTGCATATGAATTAAGGAGAAGTGGCTGACAGATGTCAGATGCAGTTTTGATGCGTTTCTGGTACATTTGTTCGGTCGATCGAGGAGTGTCCCATCCTTAGAGCCTGGTTGAAGCCTGCTGTGATAGTAGCACACGGATGAAAATTGTAAAGGTAGATCTGTTTCCGGGGCTGTAAAACCAGCACATCCTCCCGGTAGCAGCGCAGTAACGGAAGATGCGAATTTTGCGAGAGGAAGGGTGATTGAAACCGGAGAGAGGTAAGGTACTGTTTCGTTGTAAAAGCCGATTGTGGTGCCAATCAAGGTAAGTTCTCTCGTCCAGATACCGATGCCAGTCAATTTAAGCTCATCGCTTGTTTTATTCACAGGGCGAAAACGATGTTTCAATCGTAATAACCAGGGTAGGCTCTTTTGTTAGAACAACAAACGGACCTAGAGCTGCAAGAGGTTGAGAGTGACAGAGTGAGTAAACCGTTCTCCACCGTTCAATGAATATGCAAGTCTCCCCATACCCCGCACCCCGATTATCGATTATCGGGTCTCTGACGGGTCACAGACCACATCAGGCGGGATTCCCTAATGGAAAGCAGCCCAGGAGCGTATCTTCATCCATAGACATGACATCCTGTTCGCTTATTTTTCTGCAACCAGCTAATTCCAGTCTAGCATCACTGAATAAGGACGAATCGCACACGACTGCAATACCCAAAAGAGCAGAGCCTTTTAATGGAGGGATTGACAGCTGGCTCTTGTCTCGAGACAAAAATTGCGACCCATCGAGGCCTCCCAGGAGACAAAACATTTCCAGCAACGCTCCGGCACCGCTATTCCGTGAGCGGATCCCTAGGAGAGCTTGTCTTTGATGCCTCGTCCTGCATCAACACCCCAGCGAGTAGGCAACCAGAGTGGAAATTGGAATGTCGCAATCGGCTTCTACGTGGCACGTGAACAGATTCCATCCACGTGAATCACTTATACGGATGACGAGACCGGTCTGGAGAACCGTCGTGGGCGTGGCCGTTCGAACTAGCGGGCGGCCTAGCAACCCGTCCGGCTTCGTCCCCGCATCACAATGCCATATCCCCGGGATATTGGACTCTATGCACGGGTCTGGTGCGACCTGTTCCTGTCAGAAAAGCATTCCGCTTTGACAAAACGGCGGCGACAAGCTTTACAACGGCCGGCTACTATGTTCCCGGTTGTCTTTTATCTTCCGACCGTGTCTCAACGTAGAGTACGCTAGATATTGATGTTGATCGTCACAGCCAGATCATTCACCGAGCAATAGCTATGCCCCTCATTGGATAAAATCTTGGAACGAAATAGGATTGCTTCCGTTGCGACGTTGTCGTGCATATGAAGCTAGAGTCCCGAGTGGATATTCGCCAATGACGTGGTCATACGTCTCACTGGTTTCGAAGCATGGCGGAGAGCGGTCAATGATATCTGACTTAGGTAGGTTGAATCCTGTGCTTCCAGAAGGCTTCCAAACCGTTGTCTCTTTAACGAATCTCGGAAAAACCCGAGCGGCTGGAATCAAGTCCTACTATGAAAGGGTCGGCATGTCCTCGCACTAATCTGTAAATCACCATATCCTCGTTGCTATCGTCTCGCATCTCTCTCACGGTCCTTCTCCCACAGTCTTTTCACACTCAGTCACCAATACGGCAACCACACTCATTCTACCCACTCGTTTTACACACTCATTCTACACACTCATTTTAGACACTCATCTTACACACTCGTTCTATTATTCCTGCCGTATTCCACGCTCCTTCTCCTCTGTCGTGCCTCGGAAACCAGCACGAGAGCAGCAGTGTACTCATCATCTTCATTGTCATCACGACGACTCGATCTTGAAAACAGTCATTCTCTACAGCCACTGCGGCCATCGAACCTTCAGTACAGCAGCGCGGCCGGCTCTTTGCAGTCATCGACAGAGAGCCTCACTACCCAGACCACCTTACCTTCTTTTCCGCACGCGCGCTTTGTCATGGCTCTTCCAGGACCCCAAACCTCCCATCACATGAACAATCAGCTCGCGGGACAGCCAGAAAGACGCGGGCCAGGACGACCCCGGAGGATACCGGTTCGACCCCCTTCGCAACCGGTTCCGATTGCTCCCCGACCAGAAGCCCACCACCAGGACAATGCTCGGTTGGAAGATCAAAGGGCGCAATCTCATCTTCCAACCGAGCAATCTCACTCGGAAAATACGGGGCCGACTGCGCAGATCACCCTGGCCAACACGTTTTCAGCGTCTGCCTCTACTGGATACGCCCCCCATGAAAACCCGATGCCTAGCAGTCTGATATGCGTCGGGACAAGAGAACAACACCTTGGGACGTTGTTTTTCTACCTCAGCCCTCCCGAATACAAGACCGATATCTCCATTCATGGTGGCAATAGGTCTCTAGAGTTGCCAGGTATGGCTCTTGTCAGCCGTCACTGGCCCGACGAGTGCTTTATTTCTGCTCAATGGCTCCAGACCCTAGAGTTACAAGCCGGTCTCTTACCGGACCACGAAACTAGACTGGTTGATACACCTCAAGGCATCATGGTTGCCCTTCGCCAAGTCACCATGTGGTTTTCACTTCCACAGCTGCATTATGGACTGCCCATGGTTCCTGTCCGAGCCACTGTCCTCGAACACATCGGAACTGGCGTCACGGCAATCTTTGGGGGTTCGTGGGTCGATATCATCTTCCACATGGGCAACTGGAAATCTGGCGGTGCATCGGCAATGGGTTTCATCCCCTCGTGTGGTGGCCTATGAAGCTCGCGTGACCTGAGATCACTTTGCTTCACTTCTGTTCTCTCTCTCTAATACACTCAAAACACGTATATGCTGCCAAAAAATACCTGGCCACAGACAGACACTCATTCATTTCAAGGCATATACCCACATTGGTTATTTACACCTTTCAATATCCATGGCTATCATTTTTATCCTTTGCCCCTTGATATTTATATAAGAGTCGTGGTTAGGAAGGAAGGTTTATGATTTTGGATAGGATATGTACGAGTTGGGACAGGACATTTACGACTTGGGACGGGAGGGTTAACAATTTGGGATAGGAGGTTTTACGAGTTGGGACGAGAGGTGTGCGAGTTCAAAGGCGAGCATATCATAGTATGGGTAGATGAATCCATGACATCAAGTATCTTGATGTTGGTTTCCATGAGGCAATGGTTATCCCTGACTTTTACAGCATGAAGAACACAGCCGTAACCACTAGTGTGCGACACACAATAGTCAGGTTTCAGAGGGCTTTGGCAGTCCTTGGCCTGGTCCGTAGAGTTGCACCACTGTAGTGTCACGGTTTAGAAATAAAAAAGACCCCTTCGTCCTCACTACTACCACAGGAGTGGATTTCAAATATTGGCCGTGCGCTCCGACACTTAAAGGGCAGGTCAAATCATCTAAAAACAGCAAATGAACTGTAATAGCAAAACGTACAAGGAAAATGAGTGTTTGGCCAAGGGAGACGGAAGAACTACTGTCTTGTACAAGAAGAGCAACAGGGGTAATAATGACCAATGGCAAGACCGTCACAGCAATAGGCAAGGGCATTTTTGACCAATCGGGAGCGACAAGCTCACCGAAAAGTAGTGAATACAAACCACTCACAGAAAGTCCCTTGAGAATTTACAGGCACGATAGCCAGCGTGTTACATATGAGACGGAGCGCCATGCAAATATGGACAAGATATACGAGATCGAGCAATATACTACTTCCATCCCTTGGTTCCGAGCAACAAAGTTACAGGATCAGTGCGACTTTTGTCTTAAAGCTATCTCCCGTGCAACCTTGCTTGTCATGGACTCCCATAGCTGACTGGACCGGCAACTCTCAACCCTTCAAACTATTTCGCGCAAAAAATCTCCGGAAGTGAATATGCAACCGGCACGGAGTTGACCCAAAAAGGTTTCACACGTTGCAGGAATAGAGCGGTTACCGGTGGAGGCCTTCGGAAGAACGCTTGTATAAATAAACATGTAGGTGCTTCCCACCTCAGTTAGGGGCTCCTTTGGCCAGGCCTGTTTTAGTTGAAATGTTTACGACCAGGTTCTCCTTTTACCAGCCAAGATGTCATACAGCAGCAGCAATACATCCCCGCAGATTTTGGCAGGCACAGGTAGCTTATATGGAAATGACGAGGTCAGCAGAACTTCCAAAATCCCCCCAAGTCAATGAACTGACCACGAGCTAACACAATCCACAGATGGAAAAGGACACCACCATCTGCATTCTAAACGTTTCGAGATTTGGTTCCAACCATGATACATCGGCCAATTCTCTAGATCACCATGTTGAAGTATCCACCCATGAGTCGAACGGTGTTAACACGGTATCGGCTCGATTCCTCTCCATTCTCACCGGAAAGCCTATTGGACAATATCTGGCAGTGGAAAACAAGGACGAATGCTTTTTCAAGGTCGAATGGGCGTTTCCCCAGCACAAAGACGGCCCCAAAATAACGACTCGGCATCTCCTCACATCGGAACCTACCTCAGCGAATCTGAGCTTCAGTGGCGGCCTGGACTGGGCCAAGAAATTGCTGGAGCACTACGTCATCAGCTCTCGTGGCTCGACGACGACGCTCTCAGCGGCAACAATACAGCCCAGGTCGGGTTCCCAGGTTGTTGTTAGCCGACATGAATTGGAGAGGGAGGGAGACCTTGACGACGATAATGACCATATGTCCGTCTGCTCCGAAGCCCCACCTGCCACCACATCGACGACAGGAGCAAGCCCTGCGACAATCGCCAGTCCAACCTTTTGCCTTCATTCCAGCGTCTTCCCGCCTTGGGGCCAAAATCTGCGCGACTCGCCATCAACGTCCGAATCCGTCGACCGTTGCGGCTACAATGATCCCGACACGCCATTCTCAGGCTCTGGTAGTGAGCAGCAAATTCGCAAGTGGACGAGTGATGACACTGGCGACGGCGGGAGTGCCCACTCAGGCTCAGCCCAGAATCACAATCAGGCCGATGTCGAGATCACCAAGTCTCTCAAGGAGCAAAGAAAACAGGCCGAAGCCATCTACGCACGCAACGGAGATATGAGCGAGATGATGGCTCTTCTGGCGCGGGCGAAGGACATCCCTGCGGCTTGGGAGCCGAATGGACGGGCAAGGTTCTAGGTTCTAGGTTCGGGCACGCAGGCAGCATAAAGCACAAGAAAACGGTCCATCTCCATCACTACACCTAGGTCAACATATGTTACATTTTTCCCCCCATTCTTGCAAAGCTTAAACCAACTTTGTTCACTCTTTTGACCTTGATCAACTAGTTCAAGCTTCTCTCATCCATCGGAGCGAGCAAGTTCATACCACTTCATGCAATTTCCCACGCTTGTTTTTCCGACTCTTCTCTTTCCCCAAAAGCCACACCTCACATTGCCAATTGAGCAACACCTGTTCTTTTCTTCGATCAAAGCTTTCTATTCCTGTTTCCGAGCGTCTTGTTTTTTCTAGAAATATTTGTGCCACTAAAGGTTACATACTCTTTTCCATCAGCACGCACTACCAAATCAGCTTGACCCAATGTCAAACGCTTCTCTTCCTTCAACCAACTGTGTTAGCCCTTTATCTTTTCTTTTCCGCTCATTTCCTTGTACCATAGTGGCTATAATGCTCAATCAATTGAGAAAAGAAAAAGAAAAGAACAAAAAGGAAGATTTCGCACGAGAAACATGCTGCATCATCGAGCGGCGATAGAGTCATGTGGTCGTTCATGCCTATCGAACAACCCAGCCAATTGTTAGTGAATATAAACCGAACATAGAAAGTCTGATACGCCTTGCTTTCCCTAGGAAAGGCCGTTGCAGAACTATTGTAGGAATGACGCAAAGTTACAAATACATTGGATACAGTCCATCAGGGATCCTCCAGCCCATAAAATGCCTAGGGGTTGGGACCAAAGGCATAAAAGAGACGCTCGAATGTGTATTAACCGTACGATGTTCGGTAAAGGTACCTATGTTTTCACAACCCCTTCACCAAGGACCCGGGAATCCGGAACTGCTGCAGTCTCAGTCTGCACAGGCACAGGGCCGCATGGTTGTGGTACCTTAATGACGCCCAATGAAAGCAAAAGTGCTTGCAGTTCGCAGCTGACATGTGATGACATGCGATGCCATACATCAAGGCAGACTCCCGCAGAAGAACTTCAGAAGAAGGACCTTTGAAGTTGACAAAAATATGCCAAATTCCCGCTCTCACTTGCTCTTGCTCTTGCCCAGACTGACTTGTCTTCGTCAAACTATCTTCCAAAATGGAAGGTGCTCCCAGCCTTACCAGGCATGGGGGTGCGTTATACCGAGACATTACATTAATTGCCGCAGCCGTCTCACTTGGCAGGCACAAGGTGGCTCAAATGGAAGGAAGCTACGAGGTACTTACGCAGAACAACAGGAACATTCGCTTTCTTCCCGGGAAGGCCAAGCCCGAGCCACATTGAGTGCCGACTGTGAGCAGCAATTCTCAACCTTGATCATGTAACAGGAAGAATGATGTGAATAGATTACCCATCATATCATGCACCGAAGTTACATTGTTTCCTCCATTGTCAGTTGGGTGTGTTGAACAATGCCCGAGTGTCCCTTTCTTATTTGGCCAGAGACATGCACGCCATGGACAAAACCAAGAAAAGTGGATCCAGTGTAAAATACGGTTTTGAAGTTTGGCTATCTTTCAACCGCCATCATGTGGCTTTTCAACGTACAACGTCAATACCAAAAAGTACAGGGGAAATATAAACATGCTTTAAAAGACTGCAGATAACGGCTGATGTAAAATCTATAACTGCTATAACGCTGCTTCTGCTTTAACACCGGACGTTGGTGCTTCGTACACGGTCAGCGCCCATATTGATATAACACACTGAGGAGTTTGAACGTATTGCTCCAGGATGGGAGATGAAAACAAGTTCGAGATAGATCTAGAGTCAAACTGCCTCGAACACCAATGACCAGAAACCTTGCCATTCGCCGTATTTCCGAACCAAATGAGGAAGACTGAAACCAGGTTAGAGCAACCATTCGCTTTCTCGAGTTTACGATATCGGGAAAAGTACAAGATGACAAGAAAATCCCAGAAGCCACACCGAACCATGCTGTTGAAATCATACAGAGCTCAAGACTGACCCGCCACGAACCTGACACAAACCATTACCCCGAGGGTATGAAAACATCTGCTCCCTTTCTTTCCCAGTCTGAAATGTGAGTCGGTTTATGATAGTTGGTGCGAGTCATTGCGACACATTGCAGGCGTAATGCTGAGCGAGATAAATGCAGAGATGTGTTGCAAGCCAATGGAGAGAAGAGGAACAAAGCAGAAAAGCGGAAAAGAAGAGGCGCTGCCATTATCCCGCCATCGGAATTATTAGGATAGTCCACGCCGGTCCAGACCGTGTTTATTTGATAACGTGAATGGAAATTGAATGATACCCGCTTTTTCCTGTCAAGCCCACCGTCATGCAAAACCTATAGTTCTTTTCGAGATATGGAGATAACGGAAGACACCAGGGAGAAAAAAAATAAAGTGGAAAATCTTGTTGGGGAGGTTCTCTACTCTGAACCACGGAGGGATCGTTGCTCCGACGGCAGCAAAGGCTCTTCCGATAAAGAGACAAACGTTGAAATCCAAGTTCCAGCCGGTATTCCGATCCATCCTGATATGGAAAGGATTCTGCGGCTCCACACTTCCCGCCTAATCGCGATCTGGCAGGTCATTGCTCGGTACCGGACACATAGGGTTCTGGATCAGGGTAGAATGAGCTGTTGGTGTAGCTGTAGGGGCTCTGACCCTGAGAGTCGACAGGGGAGTCCGAGCCACGATCCTTCAAACCGTACTAAGTATGATAGGAGGGGTTCTGCGGCTCCCCGCTCCCGAGACGTCTCCCAGTCGAAACCGCACTGTCGTAGAACATCTGGGCCGTGCCGGCGCCGGGGAAGGGTTCTGGGTCCGGATACACATAGCCGTTACCGCTGGGGCTTTGTGCTGGAGATCCGACACCACCAGGAGACGCCCAACCCGCACTTCCAATCTGAGGACTGCCAGTCGCACTACCGGGCCCTTGTTGGGTTTCAACAGTAGGCTCCATTGTTGCGGGGGGGACATACCCCGTGGGATGCGACGTGGGCCTGGTCAGACCGTTGCTGTAGCCTGGTGAAGTCGTCGGTGCGTTGGGGACATGAACGTCTCCACGAAGGTGGGCTGGAAGAGTGTTGTTTTGCAGATACTGCATCTCCATGTTGGCCAATCCCGTGCTTGGGGATAATGACAGAGGTCGCTGTGCTGGTGAAGGAGTGGTCATCGGCGTCGCCTGGTTGGAAACTTGCTCACTCTCCGAGCGTTCCTTAGTCCTTGCCAACGTTCCCCTAGCGAGAGCCTCCGCTGTGGCTTTGGCAGATTCCTCAACAGTGCCAGTATGATGATTTTGGTGCCTCGTCAGGGTCGTCCGACGAGTGAAGGTCTTCTGGCAGTCCATATAAGGGCACTTGTAGGGACGCTTTCCAGAGTGAATCCTGCGATGACGCGCAAGAGAGCTGCTGTCGCTAAAGGGCTATATGATCGTTAGTATCCTTGTTTCGCAGTGGAAGAGTGGAATATCATACCTTGCCGCATCTCTCGCACTGATGGGGCTTCTCTCCCGTGTGCACACGCTGATGGACGGTGAGAGCTGAACGTTGGATGAACTGTTTCCCACAGCCGGGGTAATCACAGACGTGAGGGCGGATACCGCTGTGAATCCGCTCTGCAAAATAATTAGCAAATTTTTGCAAGACATGAGAAAGCCGGTGGCACTTACCGTGACGAGCGAGATCACTTCTCCGTGCGAAAGCCTTGGCGCAGGTGGAGCACGCGTAGGCTTTGGGAGGCGGTCCCGGTGGCGCACCTCCTTCCACCTGAGGCTTGTAAGAGGGATGAACAGTAGGTACCATGCCGTTGTTTGATGGGACACCTGGTAAAGTAGGCATAGCAGGAATACCCATCGGTGCAGGCGCCATTTGAGCATTAGGAGCCATCTGAGTGTTCATCTGAGTATTGGGAGCCATCTGAGCATTGGGGGCCATCTGGCCATTGGGGACCATCTGGGCGTTAGGAGCCATTTGAGGATTTGGGGCCATCTGGAGGTTGGGTCCCATCTGGGTATTGGGATTCATCTGACTGTTAGGAGCCATCGGCTGGTTAAGAGCCATCGGCTGGTTAAGAGCCATCTGCTGGTTGGGAGCCATCTGGTTGTTGGGAGCCATCTGGTTGTTGGGAGCCATCTGGTTGTTGGGAGCCATTTGTCCCCCAGGAGTCATCTGTGCGCCAGGAACAGTTGGAACGGGCATTGCCGCTCCCATACCAGTTGGTGAAGGATAGGACATGCTTGGCTCAAACTTCACGGAAGCGTGCGGCGAGCTGGCACGCTCCATATTGTTGTTGTTGTTGTTGTTGTCAAGAGAGGTTGCAGTCCAGTGTTGTTGTTGTTGTTGTTGTTGTTTTTGTTGTTGTTGTTGTTGTTGTCAAGAGAGGTTGCAGTCCAGTGTTGTTGTTGTTGTTGTTGTTGTTTGTTGTTGTTGTTGTTGTTGTTGGCTGTTGTTGTTGTTGTTGTTGTTGCTGCTGCTGTGTGAGCAATTGCGAGTGTTGCTGCTCAGGTGTAGCCAGTTGGGGAATAGGAGCGGATTGTTCAAGCTGCTGTGTTGGTTGCGCGACCTGAGCAGCCTGAGCCGCTTGGGCGAGTTGAGCGGCATTAGCCTGGGCGCCCTTGGTGTTTAGTACGCTACCAATTCCCATAGCGGCGGTAGCAGTTTCCGGTTCCGACATCTTGAGTGTCGACCAATCGTGGAATATCGTTTTAAGTGATGCAGGGATATTATGTCTGTTGAGGCAAAACTCCGCACAGCCGGATGGCAAGTTTAGACCCTGAATTCGGATATGGCAGAAAACAGCAAGCTGATCAAGTGCTGTTCCTGATGGAGATAAGAGCTATAACGTGAGGTCAGCAGGCGATTGACGGTGACTTGAGCGGTGAGCAAGCTCTATGATATGGATCAAGATGTTCAAGGGGATGTCAAAACAGTTGATTGGAACTTGGCAAAGCGTGGGCCCTGCACGCGTCTCCCGGTGGCCCTGGAGGCATGAAACACAACATTTTTGACACCTGCCTGACTTGAACAATGAGGTGGGCGGAAGGAAACCAGAGCAAATCAGCGGGTGGCGAACATGAGAACTCTTACCTCAGAAGGAAGCCAGAAGCTGTAGAGGGAAAGACCTCAAAAGGGTACCAGCCGTCTAGTGTTGTTGAGCTTGATTTCTAAAGACGTCTCTTGAAGCCGTATGGCCTTGTCGTTGAAGTATCGATGAGGTTGAATCGTGCACGGTTCAAGTGCAATCCAAACCAGGGGTCCTTACACGCGGGACGCCTTGACCACCGATCGATACCCAAATATGACGACGTCAATCTAGTCGTTGCACCGTCGCAGTATCCCGATTGCTGATCGAGTTTCGAGGTTTCGCTGCACAGCCCGTTTGTTCTACGTGCTGAAGAGAATCCGAGAATCGTGACCGAGATTTCCGGTTTCGTCAGTTGACAAGACAAGTGGGTCAGATACGCTCCGCTTTCTCCGTTGGCTACGGGTATAAGCTGTGCTCTTTCCGAAACGACGGGAAATGCCGAGATGTTGCGATGCAGGATGAACCGTCAAACAAATGAGTTGGACGAATCGCAACAGACAAGTTTGGATCGATAAGTTCGAAGCGACCTGTCTATTGCCGCTCAAAGAGAAGAGCAATGCGACGGCCGTAGCTTTGTAAGCTCCAGACGACCCGCAAAACAAATGTTGCTGAGCACCGACGGTTGTGCTGGCAGCTCGAGCTTTGTTATGTCCTGCGCTTCAACAATCGCCGGTCGTTCGCACGTGGTAGCTGCGTCGTGTTGTTTTTCTGGGAATCGAGCCGAGAAAGTGCGTGCACGATGCGGCGTGGATCGTTCTGGGGGGTGTCGATTGTCGAAGAGTTGACCAGTGACAGCTCCTGGGAGCTAAGGAGGAAATGCAAGTTAGCTATTGGAGTTCCGATCAGATTGAACGGAAGGCAGCACGGTCGGAAACAGCAAGATCAATATTTGTTAGTGCTGGAAAGGTGGGCGATGGTAATGGTAATAGAAAAGCAAGCACCGCAGAGCGGTTTGGGAGCTGGTACAAGATTCATATATCTGTTTGGGGGGAGAAATGGAATAAAGGATAGCGAGGACGATGCAGGTGGTGAAAGGCAAAGCGCGCTGACCAAAAATGCGTTATGTATGAATATCGATGGACGTCCGATGAGACGATAGCCAGACACCCAGACAATGCAGCGAGGCCTGCTAAGCTGCGAAGTAATGCAAACAGCCAGCTCCGAAACGAGAAGATGCAAACGCGCGTTGGCCACCGGTGGTGCAATTGGAGGAGCGAGGAATGGGGAATGGGAAAAAAAAAAAAAAAAGAGCGAGGTCGTCGGTCGGGATGTTTTGTTCGTTCGAGGAACTTGAAGCTGAAGCCAAAGCAGCACGTCTTGTACCGCGCTGGGCAACTCCCACTACTAGTAGTCCGTAGTGGTGACAGGGCGACGGGGGTAGGTGGAAGGTGCTACTGCGGACTTGATGATGCTCGGACCACTTTGTTGATATGAGTCCAAATGAAAAGCACGTACCTCTTTGGCACTTTGATATTCGTGAGATCCGTGTGTCTGCCGTCACGATGGAGTACGGAGCACCGCGTTTTAATGCAACACGACGAACCGCCTAAACAGGGTGACGTGGAATGGGCGCGCGGGTTTGGAGGTGCGAGAAAAATGCGTCGCGGGGAAAAACAAGTCGCAGAAAAATCGAGCTGCTGGAAAATTTGACGTACGGTGGAATGTAATCGATGTTAAAGAGACAATGGTGATGGAGCGCCCGTGTCGCAAAAGTCGCTTGACCGCCCGGGAGTCCTGGAAACGTGCGTGTGGCCGTGTGTGGGTGGATTGGCATTTGTAGGTGGGCACGGCCGAAAAATAAATCGGTGGAATCGAGGCTGTCAGTGCCAAGACGAAGGGCCAGCAAAAAAAGTAAAAACGAAACGGCTCCGCGGGAAATGGAGTGAATGAGTGACGGGCAGATGCCAAAGGTGAAACATCCCTGCCCTTGTGGCTTGGCACTCGATGTGTCTCCACGGCCTTTTGGTCTTGCCAAGTCTGTCTGTGCGTGGCTCTGTGCAGCCATTGGGCAGCTGGCGGGTGTTTTGCTGTTGGCCAAAGACAGGCAAGTCCTTTCACAGCCACAGCTGGCAGACCTAGCTACGGACCTCCATTATTATCATCCGATAACTACGCGCCACACGCAATGGACAAGATAAAACCTCTGCAAGGACAACATCGACCACTTTCCGATTACCAGTTGTGCACAACCTGGCTCCGCATCGATTCTCTAATAACAAGATGCAAGAAATGGCATGCGAGAGTCTGTCTTGACCAAGGTTTCCGAGGTCGTGAGATGTGTCCATGGCGAGTTCATGTCAAGTGTCAACACCTTCAAGCTCACTGGAAGTCAGGTACGCCAAACCAAACACAAAATCAATAGCGACAAACTCATATAAGAATTCACCAATGTAGGGTGTTAATCTCAGCCACAAGCGGGATTTTACATGGTACCTGACCAGGCTCTACTTTATTCATGCTTCACATCTGCCGTTCTGCCATTTCAACTGCCCAGGCCTGGAGGATGACCAGTCCTCATGAAAGCTCTGGCTGAAGATGTTGCCCTTTGCGGCTTCGGATTACTCAAGATGCTTCTACAGACGGGTACGCACGCATGCCAGGAACTGTTGAAGCTATTATTCGCAAGCCCGGTGAGTTCGGCCCGTGTTTACGGTGATAAGGGTCCGGCTCATTGGATTTCCTAATGGTTTGACCAACACTTTTACTGATGTCTTGGGGGTCTGCCGCGGAGTTTTTACTACATGTATCCGTGTCGTCATCGATTGCAAACTATCAACACATTGCGCATATGCAAAGGGCTGACACCAAAGTTGTCGGTGAGCATGATCATTACCATAAAAATGCATCACGCATAATCAGTCTGTTACGAGGACACCCGGGTCTCGCTACCGCACACGGGCAATATATTAAATATTCGGCGCCTGCTAGGTTGGACTTCGGTATGCCCCATCGTTTGCCATCATGCCGTGGGAGTAGCCGAACGTGTCTTTCCCCTTGATCCAAGCTAGTATAGGACACTGAAACAGCCCTAGGGTCCCCGCGGCAAGCTCACAGCTGGGAAATAACAGCTGAAGAATGTCTTGAGGATGGCCTCTCGCGTCTTCATCGTGGGCTTCTTTCACGGTTGGTCGGACGTTGGTGATGGAGCTCGCCAGACAAGCCAGCCAAGCCCGTTTCCCGTTTGCATGAAATGGGCATTTCGGATGGTTGCACTGAAAATGGCGCTCCTGTGGGCGGAACTGCCACTCACAAGCCGTGAATTCTGGACAGGGGCAACTGGGGGCGCTGTTGTGGTACCTGAGATTGGCGAGAAAGATTGAAACTTGTCCTCTTGAGGAAGGTTTCGAGAAGGCGTCCAGAAGCCCCCATGATTTCCGCTCGTTTTGGATGATGCACCTCGCCTCTCGGCAATCCATGGCTCTTGGTTGCAAGTTGCGTTCATCGTGTCAATGCAAGCCATTGTACTGTAGGGACCGGCCAGAAACCATCGGCCATCCCCATCACATATTAGTGCCAAGACATGGTGGGCACGGCATCAAGATGAGAAGAGATAAAACGGTGAAAGAAAGTGATCAAAAAGAGATGACATACGATCCAGGAACAAATCCAAGATGGTGGCCTATGATCGACACAACGATGGCTTTTGAAATGAGCCCCAAATAGCATCATGGTTTCTGACAAGCTGGGTCTCGCTGCCATGGCGCACGCCAGGGTCCATGGAAACGTGGAGGGCGGCAGTTCGGAACCAGACAGGCCAGACAGCCAGGGCAGGGCGAAATTGCCAGGGCTGGCCGACACACGGGGCACAGAACGTTTCGAAAGCTTCCAATGTTCGATGATCGTTCTATGAGGTGGACCCCTGGTTCATGCCACGCGAGATGGATGCCCACCCTTTTCTGTCAACTGTCTGGGCGAATCTCCAGCGTGTGCCCGTCCTCGCCCTCCAACCAATCTCCTGTTTAACGTCAGCTGAAGAAATACCAATGCTACTAAGAATCCACGTTGGGTAGCCGTCAGTAATTTGAATCTCAAACTATCGATCGAGATAACCAATGGACATCGTAGTTTCACACCGCCGCGTAACATTGACACGAGAGGAGTGGAACAAGTTGAAAAGATCATGATGACCGACCACAAGCCTTTCGTACTTCCCGCGAACCACAGGTATCAAAATCAGCTGGAAGACGAACGAAGCCAAATTCGCGTAGAATATGGTTCATGTCGTCAAAGCTTCCTACCTGGTAGTCAAAGACGGTTCAACGGACGGTGTCAGTGGGATGGGCATGGAAAATGTTCTGGCAAGCGGCAGTACGCTGTTTTGGTTGGAGTTGATGTTGGCACAGAAACTCGTCCTCAATCTCAGATGACCTGACCTTCTCTGTGAAACTGGACGTCAGATGTTGATCTGCCGCACGGGAAAATCACCGCAAAAATCCTTTTCTTTCGTATCAGTCGCTCTGGGTGTCTCCCGTGAAGGATCGCCAAGTTCTTTTCCTTGTTCTAACTCCTAAGGGGCTCAGACCAGCTGTTCCCGCCAAAGTCGAAGTATCCGTGCCCCACATTCCGAGAGGGGCCCGGCGGAATCTGGCCAATCATAGAGTTGCATGTCGGCTGCCCTCTGCAAGACGGGAGCTTTTGACGACGACAGTGAACTTGCTCATTGACAACATAAACCATCGGTCTAAGGGATACGGCGTTCTCCTTTTGCTCAAGATTTCGGCGGTGTATAAGCCATCTTCTGACTACGACGGCATCTCGACATGGTCTTCCGCTGAGAGATTGATTCAATCGCACGGAATCCTCTCTATTAACCTTGGCATCCCGTCCAGTTCGAACCCACTTATTGCAGACACCTACCACAACCACCGGATGGCTCCATCATCTCCATCCTAATGTCACCACTCACAATACCGCCAGAGACTTGTAGCCTACGTCATAACTTTCGGTCAAACAATAATTTATACCGACAAAATGGCTACTCAAACCCCTTTTCCATGTGGCTTTTTTCCGCTCTCAAACCGATCGACATGCCAAGAACCGTTTTGTGGTCCACAATTCTTGAATCCCGACCGATCGCGCCGAAAGGGTCAAAAAGCAAAGTTGTCCCAAATTGTCGGTATCGCCGAAACTGGGAGAAAAGAGAAGTCTGTTTCCCGCATTTCACTTTCTGATATGGCTAAAAATAGAGAGCACCCAAAGAAAGATGATGAGATTTCCAAATGTCCGTCTGGTTGGCATTCCCCAACGTTTGACTTCATGCCGCCGACACGGACACTTCGTTTCACGACTGCCGAGATTCCGCGGATCTGGACAAGCCCCGGCCCGGTCCCACCTGTCATCACTTTGTTGACCTGACCGACCACGTTCACCGAACCACGCTTCCCACCCCCCGGACACCGACAACAGGGTCCCGGACTGGCCCGGCGACATGTGTCGGGTGGGACCGAGAAAGAATGACAGGATGAAATGGTCCGTGACATCCGTGACCGACCACGTTCGTTTGAGATGCGGAACTGTTGTCTGTCTGCATTTGCATTCGGGATTGACCTATGGCAGTTACCGTACGTCATTTCTCGGGCTCCTAAAAAGGGGAACCACGATACCACACCGCAATCCCGCCCGACATCCATTGCATGGATTCTTTTGATACCAACTTATGTGAGGTGCGGTGCCATGTGGCATTTGAATCAAACCAATTCTCCGAAATGACACGGATTGCTTCCATTTTCGTCTCTGGCCGTACTTCAGCGTGCGAGGGGTCAAAACGAGCAGCTTCAAATAGGGGATGCACATTTGGATCGACGTATCCCACTTGTTTCATTCTCACCGCGAAACCATGGGGTTTAGGCAGGCTTCCATCGAGATTTAAGTGATAAGGTCGTTAACCACACATGCCGTGCGCTATTCACATAGGATTAGGAAGTGACGTCATCTAGTCTTGAAACAGTGGTAGCTCTTGCTAGAATCGCTACAGCTCATTCCACAGAAAAGGAAGGCTTGGACGGGTTGAGAGTTATCGTGATGGCAGGTCCTTCCTTCTTTGTCTGTCTGACACAGATATTCAGGGCACCTCTACCACGCTGTGGTCGGGTATGAAAGAGGTATCACAGCAGTGGTACATAGGCTGGGTGTTATGTACGCGACCTCTTCGCAACGGTCAGTACCTAGGACAGTGGTCGAGCGGTGTGGTGTACCAGTTCCAATGATATGAGTGCATTGCAGGTAGCGAGGTCATCCAACTGAATTGTGTTCCCTTTTTCTTACGGAGGTTGACAGACCCAAGGTGAGGTGTCCTTGTGTCAAACTCCATGGGATCCTTCCGCGAGAGAAAAGGTTCGTGATCGCGAATTAGGCAAGTGCTATACGTGTAAAGAAAGATTGTTGAGAAGGAGAAGGCTGAGTACATCATTGATCTATGTCCAAGATCTCAACTTGTATCACGCAAATTATGGGACGCCGGATCCGAGTCTAGTTCTCCCTTCCAGATTGATATCAAGACTCCTCCTGGAGGTTGGAACACAGAAACATGGGCCTGACCATCGCGGAAAGATAACACCCCCTCTGCGACTTCTGGATGGATGCGATTTTGGCTGGCAGGTCATGATCCTTCCATCACATCCAAATAATAGACAGTGGAGATCTCGAGGTTGACCTTCCGTGTCGGGTCTTGTTACCAGGATTCCATGATTAGGAAGGCGCTTTCGTTAACTGGTGGCTGATACCTGCCACCTGCCTACAGGTAATTCAGTCAGTGTCGACTTAATCTTCGCTTGTAGAAGAAGGCACGATGTTGGCCGAAAGACCAACCAGTTGCTGGTTGAGCCGGAAGGAGCACCTGATGCAGAATCTTCCCGCTTCCACTTTATCTGTGACTGATGATGGCTCGGAACAAGCGTTGGGAGAAGGAATCAGAACACTTCCTCCCGACGTCGATCATCTTTCATTCACCAGTCATTTCTGCGCTCAGAATTGCTTTCCAGGGAATTTGTGCTTGCTCAGAGGTTTTGAAGGAAGCCCTCCAATCTTCGTTTCCTTGCAGAATTTGTCGTTCGTTACACTTGACCTCGTCTCGGCCACTATCCCAGCTGTTGGGGTCAATTCCGTCCAGCATTCTCCCCGGCGTCCCAATGATCGATCACCAATGCTCGAGTTGCCTCTAGGTGCCCAACATGGCTCGACCACCTCACACGAGACCCTTCAACTTCGAAAACTCGGAGGATAAAACACCAACAGGGCCTACAAGCTATCAACATGCGCAACCCAGCAGCGGTGGCATGGTACCATACTCGGGGATAGCGAGTGACAACTCAGACCATAACGATGCATACCAGAACAAATCACAAACGTCACAAGATATCATCCAAGAGACACCCAGAAGCTTGCCACTTGCTCCCGAGGACATGGGGCTGCTTGAAAGACCAAGGATGAAAAAAGACCTTCGAGCTAGAGCAACAAGAGTTCGAGTTCGGTCCTCCGCTCCAGATTAATCCCGGACAGTTCACAAAGCAGTTGAGGAATCCTGGCCTGCTCTACCAGAGTACTCAATTGCCAGTTTTGACTTCCCAGCCTCCTGGAAAAGACAACACAACTCGACATATCCCGTTTCCTCGACAAGAACCACTGCCAGGACAGCAGATAGAGGAGAGGATCAGCAATGATGCTGTCTCTGCACACAACCGGCCTCATGGATACGAATTGCAAGACACTGAAGAACCGAAGAAACGGACGGTTGACACTCACCCTCGGCCAAAGAAACGCCCCTATGCAGATGTGTCTCCACCGTCCGCCCACAGAGCTTTACAGGTTCCAGTGCCCGTTCCACCGCCATCTATCAGTACACAGCGTTCGAAGACCAGTCAACATTTTAACCCAGCCTCGGGACTGGATGATTCCCACTTGCATATTGATCCTCGAGCCTCCACAGCTAATGTGTTAAGACAGCCACAGCAGCAGGCATCTCCTTCCGTAGCCGTTAACGGAGAACACATTGGTGGTGATGGCAACCAGTTTCTAATATCTCACGAGAAAGGGGTTGCCATTGATGGGGAGTATCAGTCCGAAGGGAGGGGTGGCCAGTCAAAAAATCAGTCTTCACCCACAAGTACGACTATGTCGCACAAAGGCGGACAGTCACACACTGACAGGCCTCACCACCAAGGTATTCACACGGACGACTATACTCTTCCCGGCAACACTGAGACCGAGGATATCGTCAACATGGAGTCTACCAGTAGAGCGGCACATACGAGATCTTTCGATCGCCCTGACACTCGGCAGCCAAAGAGCACCAGTCCATTCTCCTCCGAGTCTATTCATCATGGATACCCGTCGCACAGTAGCCGCCTAGATTCCCGCAAATCTCATGAACTTCACAAAACGAACACTGCTGGCTCAGGTAAACCGCCCAGCAGAGGAGCCGAAAAGGTCCATTCTTCTTCTTCAAGGACTCAACGTGTCTCTCCAATCCGTCGACGTGCAGCTACACCGGCCGCCCGGTTACAAAGACACCACACCACGGGGGAGCCTAGAGCTGTGCACAAACAGAGTCCTCGGCCACCGTTGGAAGGCTCAAATGTGTCCAGGAGAAGGGCGGCTGTCTCTACAACTGCAAGATCGGAGATAATCGATATCACCAGTACACCCGGCAGCGAGATAATCAGATTGAGCCCGACCACCAACAACAAGAGTATCGAGATTAGTCAGGAATTCACCAAGGACCTGGCTGGTGTTCTTAACCGATTCACTACTCAGCACAACTCCACCCGGCAAGAGCTGAAGGAAAAATACCACAATTACATCAAGCAGCTCAAGAAGAAAATCAAGGACCGCGAACATGAGGCCAAGGGATATCTTGCTCAGATTGAGGAGCAAGCCAGCGACATTCGAGAGCTTGATCACTCCAATGGGAAAATGGCCAACAAGATCGACGAGCTCGAACATTCCAAAGGAGAAATGACCAGGAAGATCACCGAGATGGAGGCAGTGCTTGAAGCCACCATAGAGCGAGGGTCAAAGGCGGAAGACAAGTATCGCAAAGTCAAAGACCACCTCAATGCAGCAATCGAGGAACAACAAAAGCTATATCTCATGTCCAAATCGCAGTGGGAGAAGACCATCAAGGAGGTCCGGGAGACCGAACGCAGACATGGTGCTGCGTTGGAAGAGACATTACAAAAGGCAGAGGTGATAAGACACCAGATGCTTGAAAAGGTTCGCCAGACAGTCGGTCAGTGTAGACAGGACACCGCGGAATGTAAGTAAGATCTGTATTGCTCGAGCGACAAATTCTGACAGACTCCCTAGTGTACGGCCAAATCGACAACCTCACACGCCAGATAGAACAAAAAGATGCCGAACTGAACCACAAAAAGGAAGCTGTAAGAATGCTATCACAGCAGCTTGAAACTCTCAAGATTACCAACGGGGGCTTCGAAGCACTGGAGTCTCAGCAAAAGGACATTCTAGGCAAGATGGAGGAACAAAACGCGCAGGCAATCCAGACACAAGCAAGGAACGAGGATGCATTTGGAACCAGGTGAGTATGTTACATGGGCCGTGGGATGTGCTTGAGCTGATTTCTATAGATTGGACCAGATTGCCGAACAAGTTGGGTCTGTTTCCAAAGCAGTGTCAGAGCAACCTCAAGCGCTGTCAGCTCTACAGAGCCAGCAACAAGAGATATTGGAGCTGTAAGTAGATTCGACGGCCATTTATTGCTTGTGTACTGACTTTGGTAGCATCACGTCAAAGCTTGAGGCTGTCATGGTGTCCTCCGGCACCACCGAGAAAACGACAACCCAAATTTCGACGGACATCAAGGACCATATGGAGAAGATCTTGAGACAGTTAGGCCACGAGAAGGACAGTTTGAGTCAACAGTTGAACGAAAATCTTACGGAAAATGGCAGACTTGCCGGCTGCGTTGCCGAAAAGGAAGAGACACTCAAGACTTGTCAGGTGGAGCTGAAAGATTTGCAGAAACGGTTTGAGAACCAGCAAGTCCAGTTCAGTCAACTTCAGGCGCATGCCGTGGAGCTGGAAGTATCCCACGAGGACAACCAACCGCTCAACCAACAACTCCAACTCGCCCAAGCAGAAATCGAGCGGCTGGAGGCAGAAGTTCGCTCTCGAACAGCAGCTATTTCACAACTTGAGAAAACAATCCAATCAAAAGAAGAGGCTTACGTCTCCGAGGTCAAGCAGTTCGGGTCTCAAGTCCAGCAACTCAACCAGCTGATCCTGGACAAAGAGGCGGCCATCGAGTCGGCAAGCAGCAAATCGGTTGATCTCGTCCGGCGGGAGCTTCTTGCAGAAAAGGAAAGGGAGACTGCTGAACTCAACAAGAAGATATCCCAGTTACGCAGCGAACGGGACACCTTGCACCAAGCGGCGACGCAGCTTCGACAAGAGAGGGCCAGAAGAGAAGAAGCCGAAAGCCAACAGGCTCGCATGATCGAGTCTCTGAAGGCCAACCTGGCTATAGCCGAGAACAAATCCTCATCCCTTGCTGAAGAATTGAAGACAAGATCGGATGATCTCGCTGAATCTCGCCATCAGAGATCTACTCGGATCAGTGCTTTAGGGGCAGACCTCGCTGTTTGGCAAAAGAAGGCAGCCGAGCTTGAAGCGAACTACACTGGGCTGCAAGAGACTGAGAGACAGCATACTAGTGCGATTGAGTCTTTGAAAGTTACTCTTGCTTCTGCGGAGAGCAAATGCTCATCACTTTCTGAGGAGTTAAAAGCGAAGTCACTCGAACTCGAAAAGTCAAATCAACGGAGGTCTTCTCGCATCACCGACCTGGAGAAAGAGCTTGCCAGTTGGCAGGAAAAAGCGGCCCAGCTTCAAGCAACATATTCCAAGGTGCAAAAGATCGACGAAGAACGAAAGGGAAAATTGCGGGAGTGCTTGACCGCCATAGAGCAACTGGCAGTGAAGGAAGGGATTGTTGATCCAGATGCTGACACTGTGAAGTTGTTCGATGACCGCATAACCTTGGATGAGGTATGGCCAAAGATCTCCAACGTCGTCGAACAATTGATGAAGGTGGCATCAACGAAATACCAGACAATTCTCGACAAGCAACGCCAACAACTCGAAGCGTACGAAGAAATCACCAGCCAGGCAGGATTGTCAACAAATGAAGACTCTCAGGCATCACTTGTCAATGCATGCGATAATCTGTCAACAAATGAAGACTCTCAAGCATCGCTAATCAATGCATGCAATAATCTCGGAATGAACCCACCGCAAGAAACCCAAGGGGGCAACCCAGACGGCATCGCCGACATGGGATCAACTCCGCCCGACATGGAGGAGACATCACCTCCGTTTCTGCAACATCGTGTGGTCATGGGTCTTCAGGATCAAGGGCGGCGTGTTGCTGTTCGGCGACCAACATCGACGGAGGGTATACGCAAGGTTCCTTTGCCTCCGCCGCCTTCCGTTGCTCAGGAGAAGTCGAGGAGGAGGGAAGCTGTACCTCCCAAATCAATCATGAAGAGAGTGACCCGGAGTGTATCTCGGGAACAATTGATCGAGAACTCTTCGGGGAGTGGTGCATTTGGGAGGATCGGGCCCCTTGACACCTTCACAGCAACTCCTCCTGACAGTACGGGTGTTTCGTTGGAGCAAAATCACATGTCTCATGAGGTTACCTCCAGCCACTTTTCAAGTGTCTCCACTTCAGGAAGACCCAACAAGCGGAAACGGTCTGATGACATCGTGGACTCTCCCGTAATTGCTCGGCGAGGCAGATACTCGAAAGGGGCGGGCGGAAAGAGTACGACCAAAACTGTAGCTTCTACCCCAACTTCAGCATCGGGTCCTAATACCTCAGACGAAGGCGGGCCTCGCGGGATAGGACTGCCACAACGGATTTATCGAAGTCGTCACGCCGTGGATAGGTTGAGCGAGGGTTTCGACTCCTCTGTAAATGGATCGACGTCCATTAACTCCAAGCCTTCATCTAGCCTCCCGGCTGAGGTTGTGAACGGTGCCAACAGGTTCTTACCACCCAGATCAGCACCGACTCGGACTTACGGCAGCCGGAAGTCCGTTGGTCCTGCGGAAGGCAACGGCTCGGCCAGTCAAACAAACCACGAGTCCCAGACACGGTCTCAATCCCAGCTACTTTCGCGATACTCGGGCGCCAATGATGAGACTCAGGACTCCATGACCCTTTCACAAATTGTAAGCAAAGAAGGCGGAGATGACTTGCTACTTCCTCCGCCTGACAACAAATCCTGATATATCTGTACTGTGTATGTGTGGTGTATGTGTGGTGTATTTGTCGGAGATATTTTTGAGGGACAGATCTTGTGGCATTGAGGGTGAGATATGAGAGATGTAAAGACAGAAAACCCAGATATGATGACAAGAGTGTGGAAGGTTCGAAACAGATTGTCTGGTCGGGTAAAAGAATCATTAGAATGGAAAGCCACTTGGCTGAAAACCGGGGTCATGCCCAACATGAACGGACGGCCGGGGGATTGTGCTGATTTTTGATTCCTTCTCTAAGCAAGCTGGTCCATCGCTGGAGCTCCAGAAGTAACATGCCCTCCATGGGACCAGTTCGTAGCTCATAGGGTGATGTTATACAGTGGTGGATCGGTAGTACATAATATTACACGACCGTAGACTGGAAGAACGAGGAGGATCCCATGTTATTCTTGCTCCTCTCTTGTCCCTATTTCCAGTCCAGTTTCGGTCCAGCCCCCTCCCCAGCATTGGCCAATGTCTGCTGGTGATCTGTTCGAAACACGTTCCCGTCGATATCGTAATATGGGTGTCATCTAGTAACCGGTGGAGGGAGGGGGTGCTGTAGCCATTTATGCCTTGCTTTGCCGCCTCCCCTTCGTTCGATCCGATTTTCGGTTTCCGTACCGTATCGCAGGCTCCGCGCTTTCGCTCTCGTTCGTTCGTTCGACGGTCGTTAGGCGGCAGGGGGCGTAGCGATTACCTGCCCTTGCGTTTCTGCTCGAGGAAGAGAACCTTACGGCGAACTATAAAGGGGGAAAAGGATGTGTTAGTAGCTGCTTCTTTCCCTTCAAGTTTGTCGTGCCCCAACGTATTTCTTCTGTTTCCTTTCTCCATTCCCGCGCGCGGTCGCCTAGTCGTTTTCTTCGGTTCAGTCGGTCGATCGGTCGGTCGGTCGGTGTAATGTCGTTGCTAGACTCCCGAAAGGTAACTTCTGGTTGTTCCGATCCCAACCTGGCTATCCACCAAATCCAAAGCCTCAACTGTCTCAAGAAGCGTATCCCGGATGTTTTTCGTGCCGTGTCACGCAAGCCGAAGAGCCCATCGCCCAGAATTATCCTTCCTGCCGCAAGAGAACCAACCCAATTTCTCATATAATGTCCGCATTGTGCCATGTCGTGTCGTGTCGTGTTGCTCCGGGCCGATCATGTTCGAGTTCACAAGTGAAGAGGTAGCAGGGACGAGGAGAGTATGCGCATACCAATCGGGTCGTATTTCAGCATGCTCATGGGCAGCGAGGTACGGGGCCGGGTGAAGGTGTAGAAGTAACCCGTCATGGCCATGGAGATCAGGCGCACATTGATGATGCGGGACTTGACTGTTTAATTGTTTTACATCTTGTCAGTCTCAGTCTCAGTCGGCAGTCATTGCCTTTTCTGCCTTTTCTGCCTTTTGTCCGTTGCAACCAGTTCGCTTTGAAGAAAGGCAAAAAAACAAAGTAATTGCACAACAAGAGGTAGGAGAACATGTGGGACAAGGAAGTGTGTTAATTACCCTTCTTCGCCATCTTGAACGAGTTTTGTTGCGCTGTTGTTGTGATGCAACGGCGGCGGGCGAGTGGACTGTAATGAACGGCGGGGGGAGGCTCGACTCCGGACGGAGATGGAGGTTCGCGAACTACGGCGGGCGGAGGGCGACGGGCGGATTCGCGGATTCACGGAGCACGCGACGTCGGGTCGTCCGCTCTCACTTCTTTGCGATTAGCGATTGGGGATTTTTGCCGGCCGGGTCGGGTGCGTAAGTGGGTCCGTTGTGGGATGAGTGGGGCTTGGCAAGCTTGAAGCGCTTCTAATATTGTAATTGGCTGTGATTCGCGCTG